ATTTCAGATGAGTTGTTCCAGAGTTATCATGCTCACCGCTGAAAAAAATTTATTTTTGCAAGACGGCTATATTTTCTTTATTTTTATACATTTAGACTCAAAAAAATTATTATAAGTACTTCAATGTATATACTATTAGATGCCATGAAGCACATTTCAATAAATGTTTGTCTATACTGCTAAAAAAAATCGTGAAAATCATCTTATTTTCCGCATCCCAACTGAGTATAACCCCTTAATGGTGGATATTTTGAAATGGTTTCTGCAATCCGAATGGATTCTTTCTCGATCCATTGTCTCCGCACGGACATTGTAATTTTTAAAAGTCGTTTTGTATATGTGATGTATTGTAATTTTCCACAACATTTTTTCCCAATTCTTTAAGAGCATTCGCTATATCAGATTCTGTCGGTATTCTAAAAAAGTTATACTAACAATAAGAATCATACATTATCTTTTTTACGTCTAAATTTAAAAAATGATATTTGAATGTACAAAGCAGATTCTAGAACAATTGGCGTCTTTACAGGCTTGCCTTCATAATCTCTTTTTAGTGTCTGTTTTTTTAAAACAGCCTGATGATTTCGAATCCATGTGCTTAACTGATTTCTAACAATATCCTACAAACAATTAAAAAATAATTTCTTCATTATAATTATAAGAAGTTCGTAATTTAATATCGCGTTATTACTTACACAACTACCTTTACCACCGGTAAGTTGTGGATACGCAACAACAATGCTCGATGCAAGATTATTATAGTCTTGTTTTGTAGGTTTCGTGGATGTAGCTTGCCACAAGTATGGCCCCCAAAATGCAATAAAATATAGTTGTTCTTTTAATATACCGTTATTTTCCGATTTAGACTGTAAGTCATGAGTCAATGGAGGTAACACTGCTGGATATGGAATCGATTCGGATTTTTTAGGAATACTTTTTCCCACTTCTTTTGTCTGAATTTTTGTATCTTGTAAATTTTTTAGCCTTTCGTCAAATTTGAATGGTATGGCTGCATAATTTTCTTTATATTGTTCATCAACAGAAACCTGTTAAACATTTGTTTAATAAATATTTCTATTTGTTTCTTTTATACATTTAGATATTTTTTTCATTATTCATACATAATAGCATAATTACGATATAATTATAAATGCAGAAAAAGATGACGATGTGAGCCTCAATTTTTTTTGTATAACTTTGTATACTTTTTTATTTCTCAGTTATATATATGTTTTAGTCAAAGATATCACAAATAATAAGTTGTTAATTTATGTCTAGTTTAAAACACACTTGATTAAGATTTATTAATTCACAAAATGGAAAAAATTGTTTAAATAAAAAGATACGTTATAACAGTTTCCTGTAATTTTGTAAATTTGTGTTGAATATATTCTGAGAAGGAAAAGACGTATTCGAGTCCCTTCATATATATGTATATAATATACTATATATATATATATATATATATATATATGTATGTATATATAATCGTAACTACATTCATTTTAATGTCGTCATTTATGAATTAATAAAAGTCATTTTTTGTTATAATTTAAATTATATAACAAAGATTGTTTTTAATTAAAACAGAAAATGTGTATTTCATTTTTATGAATTTGTTGATGTTGAAGGAAATCTGCTACAACGATGTCATAGAGGGTTATATAAATTCTCTGCTTTAAAACTCAAATTCTCTGTTTTAAATTCTCTATTGTCAAATCAAAAATTATATAAAAAAATTATAGAAAATAATTTTGTTTCTAATAAATAATTTTGTTTCTAAACCAGAAAATTTTACTGTCAGATTTTTTGGTTTCATATAAAAACGCGTCGAATAAGTATAATTTCATTGAAATTTAAGATGAGATCCGTCTTCTGAATAATTACTATTTGTTTTTATAACAAACATTAATACTTATTTTAAAGGATTATAAATTTACCTTTTCTTCAATCATAGTGATATCGTCTATTACGATTGAATTGTCTGCATTCATAATAAGCGACTTAGCGACAGAATCGATCGGTTCGGTATAGATTATTTTTATGTCTCCAACATTATCAAGCAGCTGTTTCTTTTCATGATCATAATTACACGTTGGTTTGGCCACGAGATTAGATTTTTTTTCGAACAGAAGTACTTTCACCTCACTCTTATCTTCAATTTCTTCCTCTTCTTCAATATCACAGAATTTATTATTGCGATCAGGATCACATTATTGTAATATAATTATTTTATCGTGTATCGTTGATTTTAACAAACTATCATCATTACTGATTTCAAATAAACGATCACGTACAATTTGAACGTCGGAGATATGTTCTCGAGACGAAAATGTACGCGTTTACAGCGTTCGCTAATCAAACAATATATTTTTTTTCCATCTTTAATTAGAAACACTTCACTTGATAACACTGCAATTGTTATCAACAATTGAACTAGCAAAACATATGCAGCACGTGCTCCTCACTTTCTTAAGGCAGCCATGATGGAATACTCGAGAATGCTGCGCACAAGCGTTTATCCGCGTTCATTACGCAAGATATGTGTACAGTAAACACGCAGTGAGAGTGAGAGGTTTGTCCGCGTCGCATAAGCGCGTTATGGCTACTGCACACTGGACGCGATGAGCGATGAGCGACGAGCGATATCCAATAATAACTCTGCTTTTTCTCACGTGACGACGCAAAGCAAAGCTCTCATTGGATATCGCTCGTCGCTCATCGCTTATCGCGTCCAGTGTGCAGTAACCATTAGAGTGAGTAGGAAAAACTGTGTGCTGAAAATGTATAGCACACGTAACGTATACTGTATCTGGAGACACTGGTAGTGTCTCGGCGCTAAGCCAAGCGCAGCGACACTGCCGTGGATACTATAAGCGAATCTGTCAAGATTTCCAGACGGCGATTATGGGATCTCAATAACGGCTGTCCCGATTGAGTTCTAAAAGTGCTCAATCGATGGCATCCGCTCGGAATATATAATGAAAGTGTTTTTGTTTTTCCTCTACGTGCTCTACGAGCGGAGATATTGCGATGTATAATGATGCATAATCCGAAATTGAAACTTTTCATTTAAGAAACGTCATCGTCGTCGTCGTCGACAAGGCTATGGGGTGGGGG